ACCAACTGGATTGAGGGAAAACAAATCATGTGTGCCTCAAACTGCAATGCAACTCATCATCACATGACACAGAGTAGAATGAAGGTGAAATCTCTACCACCTCAACTACATGGAATTTCAACAAAGGCCATCAACAGCGATGACAGTGAAGTAATTTCGAAACTAACTAACGATTAAGGAGTGTCACAAGTCACTACCGTGCGTCGGTGGCATAGCGGTTAGGACGCTCGCCAACCATGCACATGGTCCGAAGTTCGATCCCCGGCTGGCGCACTCCTTTACCTCGCTGAGCTAGCAAAAATGCTGGTAAAGAAGAAAGGTTGGGCATGAGGCTAGCAGCCTCGTCCTGTAAAAATAAACACTGCTACAGAAACTTTAAGCCACTAGCTTGAAGCCGTATGCTCCATTGGGAACGTGAAGGAATAAAAAAAACAAGTCACTACCAACCTCATTCAACAGCTGTGTGGAAATGTCATATGTCAAGTGATCCACAACCAGAAAAGTCAGTGTAGTCGTCAATGTGAAGACAGGAGTGAGAAAAGGCTGGCTGACAACTATCACTCACGAGGGTATTGCTAATTGTGGTGGATTGGATTATGCAGATAACTGTGGGGAACGAGAAGACAGGAATACGTCGAACTGACCGATAAGGAACCTTCAAGATATTCGGACTTGGAGGATGATTTATGTCTTGTGTCAGATAAACTCGAGGAATTACAGGCGAGAAGCCACAATTTGTCAGGAGATGCAGGCAGCGAATACAGGACTTAAGGTGTATAGTGAGAAGACAGAGGTGATGAAGATAACCATCTAACAACGACAACAAGCACGAATCACTATCGATGGAAGAGATCTGAAAGAGGCCATTTCCTTCACTTATCTGAGAAGTATTGGTTCAACTATAGGAAGACGGCACCAATGTTAGCAATAAAACTAGCCAGATAGACAAGACACACCTTCGTCTCTCCGAAATGAGCTTGGAAATCAGCTGCACACGGCACGAAGAACGAGATTCGGATTTTCGACACTGATGTTCGATCAGTCAGTCAGTCAATGAGTTCTTTTATACACACAGGTGAAACACATAGCCAGAGCATCGCGGAAATCAGCCGTCTCCTTCGCTGACTCCATACTGAAGGTGAGATATATGACTGGTAAGAAAGGATTCACAACAAGAAACTATCAAGCAAGAAATTAACCGTTCGACAGATATGATGAAGAAAAAAGGAGGTGGATTACACATACACTGAGTAGACCACTGGATGACATCACTCATTAGGCTATCGGTCGAGTGGAATCTGAATAGCAAAGCGACGAGTTCGGCATAGGTTCAAGCATGATATGGAGTAGATCGTGTGATGAGGAGGAGATAAGATGAGAGTTTTTGGGCAACCATGTATTCACGTGAACAGGACTGCAGCAAAGAGGTGTCCTGTTGAATCCCTGTGTTCAACTCAGAACGCAATATTCGACAACTGACCCAACAAATGAACCCTCACTGTGACTCCAGTATTTTCGACCAGCCTCATATTTCTAATCCTGTACCATTTTGGATTCAATCCAATATTCGAGTAGTTAAAAGCTGATGGTTTGAGTTATAGGCAGAAGAGAAGTGAATCTAAGCATAAAAGGTTGTATTTTGTTACGTCCATTCCAACTTGGATGGAATATATTAGGTCAAACACTATTCGATCAACAATAAAATGTGGTGTACACAAACTACAATTCAGTCATTTAAGCAAAAATAATAAAATTATGAGCACATGAATTATCTTATAAATTTAGTATTCACATTTATATTCGACTAATTGTGTTTTTTTCTTCTAAAATTTCACCACACATGACACTTGTGCCTGGGATTCATTGGCGAGGCGACTGGACAGTTGTAGGCTTTCGAGAAGTCTTCATTGTTCAACAGCACATCATTCACTCTGAATAAAAAGGGGGGAGAGAGAGAAAGAAGAGAAGTGTAGCGCTCTTATACAAGGGCCTAAAATTACCCAGTGACACATCAGCTCCTTGTGAGGATGATTCAACGACGATGTCTCAGGATTAATAAACTTAAAGTAATTTTGTTGGATGATGGACTAGATGTAATGGAATCCACCAGGATTCAGGGACATTTCGTCCTTTCTGAGGGACTTGTCTGAGCTGGATGTATCTGCATCTCCCTAATGGGCTGCCTAGAAAAGTTCATCAGGAAACAACTCAAGACCAATAAAGTAGAAAAGTCCTATTTTCTGTCTGTGCATATAAGATGCCTATATATATACAACTGCAATTCAAGAGTAACCTGCCGAATGAAATAATTACTAACAAGTTAAGAAAATCTATTCCAAAAACATTCTAATGCTGGCAAACTACCAATTATATTTTCTACACCACGACCGGTTGTGATTCCTCGATTGAAACATGAAGTACCTAGACTAGACCTAACCACCTCTAGTTGTGTTCTATCAATTCAACTGCACTTGTGATGCAGCGAGTCATATCGTCCGTTATAAGATTTAATAGTGTGAAATATTCTCATATCATGAATTAAAAGTCAATCTGAACGAAGAATATTCTTTTCACAATAATTTCTCCTCTTCAGGTTCTTACAACTATAAAACATGCAATATTTGTTGTCGTTACAATAAGGCCAGTTATTCGATGGGATACATTTTTAACGTAGAATAACAGATTAGTTATAGGGTGTCAAAATAAATAGTCGTATTTGTATGACAAACGTGTCTAGGCTGAAATCGATTACAAAATATTGTAAAATGGGAGACAGTGGTGGTGATTAGTCATAATAGATTCGTAGAATGTTGTGGGGTAGGAAAATTGACAAAAGCATAAAGAGCTCGATCCTGTCACACTTGATCGATACTAGACATGACATAGCATCAACGTCAACACAGTTTTCAGGGTTTATACCGAATTCCGAAGTCGTTACCACGTACAGTTCACTTACGTCTGCTACACATAGCTGAAGCTGTTACACTAAGATCAACTAAACCGGAACTTTGTATCCAAAATGAAAACGTCCAGACGCTGTTTCTACCGTGGCCAAACTTGGATTGATGATTCTTCTTCTCACCAAGAGTGCCTCTTCCCCTTAACCTTCTTGGTTTATTTTCTTTCTTTGCTTATTATTACGCTATTATTATTATTCGTCATAATTTATGCCCTTCGTGCAAACATTCTCTCAATACCATCGGATTTTCCATTTATACTATCCGGACTTATTATTATTAGTGATACTATCTCAATATATGCCTCCACCTGTTTCATTTCACACATTCACTATTTCATGATGAACCTCTCATTGCAGTCTTACTATCTCCTGTTTAACACAGACCACTTTGTCCTAGCCACTCACCAGACACCTTTTATAACCTTGAATTGACTTGTCAATTTTCCTACCCCACAACATTCTACAAATCTATTATGACTAATCACCACCATTGTCTCCCATTTTACAATATTTTGTAATCGATTTCAGCCTAGCACAAGTTTGTCACACAAATACGACTATTTATTTTGACACCCCATAACTAATCTGTTATTCTACGTATATTATTTTTTATTTTTTATTTATTTTTGATTACAGCTTGATGCCACACCGTATTTTCAGTACAAGTATGGCATTTTCAGCATGGATATCGGTAGCCCAAATTTGCAGCGACACCACCACATAACTGGCTATCATTATTGTAACGACAACAAATATTATAATTGTTTTATAATTGTAAGAACCTGAAGAGGAGAAATTATTGTGAAAAGAATATTCTTCGTTCAGATTGACTTTTAATTCATGATATCGTCCGTCGCTGTAGGAAATTAATTTTTCGTGCTCGCTAGGGAACACCTATCAGTGTGGTTCAACGAAGATTTAGTGAAAACCGTCACCAACAGTTTGATGTTAGACCACCTGGTCCTAACCAGCCGGCCAAACAGCTAACCTTGAAGAATCCATCCCTATTATCATATATCGGTCACCAAATACACTGCCGAATGCATTCATGTACCCAATACTTCAAACAGCATTGGCTTTTCCGATTCACCTAAAACAACTTATGCTGTGTGTATGTGTGTGCAGAAGAAACAGGTCCAGCCAGACACAACTACTCCCCTGGCCCTGGCCTTCAGTGCAGACCATGAATTCATGAATTCTGTATTGTTATTTCTCCTAATTCGTCTGATATTCAGTGTGTAGTGTTATTATGTTGCTATTGAACCGTGATTCATTGATATTCGTATTATTGATTTGTTGTTGTTTAATCAATAATGTGGTTAACAATCCTAATTCTTTCATTATGATAGGTGGATATATAACTGTAGAAGCTGATGAAGAGCAGCTTGTTGAAAAGAATTTTTTTGTTTTAGTAATCAGTCCTTTGAAATTTCTAGTGGGCATTTTTGATCAATGGGTATCAGATATTATTATTATTTAATTCTATTTGTACTATCCCATTGTTTGATTGGACGGAAGTGTTCGGCCTTTGTCGATATGTGGGCTCTTTGCGTGGATGCTTCGACGACGATGTCTTAGGATGAATTAACTTGATGTAATTTTGGTGGATGGGGACTAGGCGAATATTTCGGCCCAATCAATCAGAGGGAAAATCGAAATTTAATTAAAAATTAAGTGTAGTAACTGAGATCTGTCGCACAAACGGTGACGGCTGTCGTGGACCCCGCCACCGCCCCCAAGTGGTCAAGTGGACAGTACACTTTGGTGTTTGAAGAGATCGGTGCAATGGGTTCGAACCTCAGTGGAAACACTAACACTCACTCACTCACTCACTGGAGAATCCACAAATATCCACTGGCTGACACAGATTCCTCAGATAGCATGAAATGCGCATTCATCCTGGTGGAATCCACTGCTGTTTGTCACCAACCACTAAATTACATCCAAAGATGTTGAGCATACTCCTTCTGTTAATGATCAGTAATCGACAAGGAACATAAAATAACAATTTGTGATATGATAGAATACTGTGTGATAAATCCTACCTATAATAATGCAGAACGTGTACATCTTCTCTGGCTTGTTCCAGTAATCCCTTGTCACTATAGTATCCACAAAGAGTCTAGAAAAAGGAGATTAAGTGAGATGAATTTTACCACTGATTTATGGAGAGATCGTCTTTGTACAGAGTTAGAATAAACTATTCAATGAGTGGAGTTGAAAGTCTGCTGTGGAACATTTACTCTGAATAAGGCGAAACACTTCTGAGCTAACCGTAACGTATAATGGGGGCGATGTGCACTACAGATGGATGATATTGAGGTGTTCTCTGAGCTGGATGGTTTAGTTGTGAAGCTGCCTCCATTGTCATCCTAGACAAAATCCGCCTAGACTTCAATACGATAGTCTGGGCGAATTTTGTCCGGAAAGACAATGAAAGTTGAGGGAGTACGTCTGCGCCAGTATTTCTCCCATTATTCCCCGTGGTTCAGAATGGAAAATAGGACTTCAAAAAGAACAACTACATTTCACACTGTTCTCTGCAGCCCGCATTTAATGGCTCCACGATTACGCATAAGCTCCTCAAACCATCTGTTCCATGTTCGACTTGAACCCACACCCAACTCGTCTTCTCCTATTCTCGTTGTGCTCGACCACTGGCCTGGTGCATGGTGTGTGGCGAATCCATCTCTATTTTCTTCGACGTATTTGTTGCGTAATAGGTCTTCTCTCAGTTTGTTCAAAGAGTTTCGTGTTGTTAATTCTTTCCAGCTGGTCATTCGATCTTCATTATGGAGCCAGCGAAAGCATCTTTTGATGAAAGTCCGCAGTAGTCTGTCCAAAAGGCTCTTCGTCATGCTAATTCCATATAGAAGATGTGGCTGACTTATCATTGATGTTCAAATACTGAGGATTGTTCTTCATGTTGAGTTAAGCCGATTTCTTAACCGATTTGGGTGTGATGAGGGTCTGTTTTGCCTTTCTGATTCCAGCTGTGTTTGACATCCTCATTGGTGTCGTCTGTCTGTAGTTGATGCGATGCTTCCTAGTTAATTGACGGAAGTGATCTCTTTCAAATTTCTTCCTTTGACACTGATTGGCGCCTGCTGTTATTGGTTTGTCATCTCAATCTTCTCAATCCTCTCTACATCCACTTGAAGTGTTGTCCTTGCTGTCTGCTTCTTCTGACAACTTTTTGGTTTCCGCCTGTAGATCAACGAGTTTGAAATAATGACGTGTTCATATCCACCGCGGTCTCCTGATTCCTCCCCAGTGCTTCAGGAGGAATTCCGTCCTGTTCCTGTTGCCTTCACAGCTCTTTAGCAGCATGACTGCATTCAAAACTTAAACTTTTGTCAATGGTTTGGCATCCACTCTCAATTCTGTGCCTGCTATTGCTGGGATTTCTGGACAGGTGGCAGGTGATGCACCAGTAACCATATATATATCATAAATAATTAGTCGTTAGAAATTAATTAACTTCTGTAGCAAGAAGATATTCTGTCTCTTTATGAAACAGAAGGGAAATGCATTGTCTGATGTCAGAAAAGAATAAATAAATCAATAATCTGTCCAAAAATCGCCACTCTCATCACTAATCTAAACGTATTATCCACCAACTTGGAACGATTTCTTTGATGCAGAACGTTTCAGCTTCATTACCAGTGCTGTGAGTACAGTTACTCCTTGTTCCTTCTATATGGATAAGCTGATACCTTATACTGTACAGCTGTTTCGTTCCACTTCGAGACTCTTTGAAGGTATTCACCCACCATAGTGGTTCAAACCCAGGACCCTCCAGTTACAAGGAAAGCTAGAACTCTTGTGATGCATGGGTACTGCCAAAACCAGGTACGAAACTAGGACGAAACAGCTGTCTAGTACTTCCTGTTGGTTTTCCAGTGGTTCTCTAACTGATGTCATCAACTCGTAATCAAATCTGTAACCACCAGTCAAATCCCTCTGAAAAATAGGAAGGACATCGTCATTCTACCAGCCGACAAAGGAAGAACAACAGTAGTCATGGACAGAGAAGAATACACCAAGAAAGCTGAAGAACTACTCAAAGACGAGGATGTATATCAACAACTCCCAACAAATCCCATACAAACATTGGACAACCGCATCCAAAGGACGTTAAACAAGCTCACCAAAACTGGACAGATCACAAAACAAGACCAATGGCGAATGAAATCCAATGGACCAGTCCCAGCCAGATTCTACGGCAGACCCAAAATACACAAGCCAAATATCCCGTTACAACCAGTTGTTTCACTCTCAGGAACTCCAACATATAATTTATCCAAAGAATTATACAGAAAACTGAAACACCTAACGGAATCTTGTGATCACTCCATCAACTCTGCTATCCAATTTCTAGAGAAAATCAGAGGCATCCAAATAGATGAACAAGAAATAATGATATCCTTCGACGTCACAGCATTATATTCCTCAATCGGACAAAAACTAGCAAAAGAGACCATGGAGCAATTACTCAGCAACGACGAACACCTCCCACATCAATCAAAAATGCAACACACAAGCTGGATGGAATGCATAAACCTATGCCAAATATATGAACAAGACAAAGGAACACCCATGGGATCACCAATATCAGGTTTGATTGCAGAAGCAGTGATGCAAAGGCTCGAAAACATAATCCTACCAAAGATCAAACCCAAAATTTGGATACGCTACGTGGACGACACATTTGTTATAATCAAAAGAAACGAGTTAGATAAAACTCACAACAACTTAATAAACAACGTCTTCAACGACATCAAATTCACAAGAGAAGAGGAATCCGAGAACAAAATCCCATTTTTGGACGTCTTAGTCAAGCGAACAACCATGGGGGAATTAGAAACTCAAGTTTATAGAAAATCAACTCCCACAGACCAAATACTGAATTACAACCGCAAATTAACTATCCAGCTCAGAGAACACAACCACATCAAAAAAGTAGCATCAAGAACTCACAGTCACCACAATAGTACATTTATTGCAGCTATACAGTCCACTAAGCGCAAAACGAGTACTCAGAATAAAGTAGAATATTCCCAATAAGGTGGGATTAAAAACTCTGTCCACAAGAGTCACACATCAACGCTCGTGGGAGACAGTTCATGGTCAGAATAACCGTCATTCACTCAAACAAAACTGCAGTCATGAGACAACACATTACCCCTATCATCATCACACAACCACAAAGAGAAGCATCAAAATCAGAGATTAATCAGGGAGCGACAAAGACAAATAATGAGGATCAAGTGGGCACATGATATGCAAATGTCAGGCCAGTGATATACAGTCTGGGGGAGAAATGTATGATACATCCAAAGTTAGTTGAAATATCCAAATAAGCATAAACATTGTAATTAGATCATTTAAGAGGGGATTTTCTAAACTATTATTCAATCACACCTCCTGCATTATCCTCTTTCAACACAACAGATAGTCGAATTGATAAATATTCATCATAGCTATGCCTTCAAATTCGAAATTAAAGCTGGTACGACAGATACATTTCGATAACTAACAATAACTGATATCAGATTTCATCATGAACTGATACCGGTTAGAAGATCATTGGAAAGCCGACAAGTAGTACTGGAAGCTGTTTCATCATCCTTATTTAGAACTCTCTAGCAGTAAACACCCAACGCAACGGTTTGAACCCAGGATCTGCTGGTTACAAGTTAGCGAGCTCGTAGACCAATAATCCACTGGGACTCGATCCAATGGCCTATTCATGAATTTCAACCTGGGTTATGGTGGAAAGTTGTGACCACCAGAGGAGCAGAGAGGGTTGAGTGTAAGGACAAATACAGGCCAGCGATAATATTCGATAGTGGTTGCACCTTCTCATGAATCGGCAGAAGTTGGAATTCATAGGTTGACCATTGGATTGGATCCCAGTGACTGATGAATGGTCTAAGAGCTCGCTGGCCTTGTAACCGGGAAGTCCTGGGTTCTAACTACTGTGCGGAGTGCATACTGTTGAAAAGTCCGTAGCTGTGGCAAAACTTATCATTGTGTGTAAACTATTGAAATATAATTATACTTTATGTGACAAAACAGCTTATCAGTACTCGTAGGTGGTTTCCAGTCTTCATCTAATTGATATCGACTTGTGTTTGTGATTCTATTCAACAATAACAGTATCAAGACCCTCAAAAAGCTGAAAAATAGGAAGGACATCGTCATTCTACCAGCCGTCAAAGGAAGAACAACAGTAGTCATGGACAGAGAAGAAAACACCAAGAAAGCTGAAGAACTACTCAAAGACGAGGATGTATATCAACAACTCCCAACAAATCCAACACAAAACATTGGATAACAGCATCCGAAGGACCTTAAACAAGCTCACCAAAACTGGACAGATCACAAAACAAGACCAATGGTGAATGAAATTTAATGGGACAGTCCCAGTCCGATTCTACGGCAGACCCAAAACACATAAGCCAAATATCTCGTTACGACCAATTGTATCACTCCCAGGAACTCCAACATATAATTTATCCAAAGAATTATACAGAAAACTGAAACACCTAACGGAATCTTGTGATCACTCCATCAACTCTGCTATCCAATTTCTAGAGGAAATCAGAGGCATCCAAATGGATAAACAATAAATAATGATATCCTTCGACGTCACAGCATTATATTCCTCAATTGGACAAAAACTAGCAAAAGAGACCATGGAGCAATTACTCAGCAACGACGAACACCTCCCACATCAATCAAAAATGCAACACTTAAGCTGGATGGAATGCATAAACCTATGGCAAATATATGAACAAGTCAAAGGAACACCCATGGGATCGCCAATATCAGGTTTGATTGCAGAAGTAGTGATGCAAAGGCTCGAAAACATAATCCTACCAAAGATCAAATCCAAAATTTGGATACGCTACGTAGACGACACATTTGTTATAATCAAAAGAAACGAGTTAGATAAAACTCACAACACGTAATAAACAACGTCTTCAAAGACATCAAATTCACAAGAGAAGAGGAATCCGAGAACAAAATCCCATTTTTGGATGTCTTAGTCAAGCGAACAACCACGGGGGAATTAGAAACTCAAGTTTATAGAAAATCAACTCCCACAGACCAAATACTGAATTACAACCGCAAATTAACTATCCAGCTCAGAGAACACAACCACATCAAAAAAATAGCATCAAGAACTCACAGTCACCACAATAGTACATTTATTGCAGCTATACAGTTCACTTAGCACAAAACGAGTACTCAGAATAAAGTAGAATATCCCCAATAAGGTGGGATTAAAAACTCTGTCCACAAGAGTCACACATCAACGCTCGTCGGAGACAGTTCATGGTCAGAATAACCGTCATTTACTCAAACAAAATTGCAGTCATGAGACAACACATTATCAATATCATCATCACATAACCACAAAGAGAAGCATTAAAATCAGAGATTAATCAGGGAGCGACAAAGACAAGTAATGAGGATCAAGTGAGCATATGATATGCAAATGTCAGCCCAGTGATATACAGTCTGGGGGGGAGAAATTTATGATGCATCCAAAGTTAGTTGAAATATCCAAATAAGCATAAACATTGTAATTAGATCATTTTAGAGGGGATTTTCTAAACTATTATTCAATCACACCTCCTGCATTATCCTCTTTCAACACAACAGATAGTCGAATTGACAAATATTCATCATAGCTATGCCTTCAAATTCGAAATTAAAGCTGGTACGACAGATACATTTCGATAACTAACAATAACTATATCAGTTTATCATGAACTGATACCGGTTAGAAGATCATTGGAAAGCCGACAAGGAGTACTGGAAGCTGTTTCATCATCCTTATTTAGGACTCTCCAGCAGTAAACACCCAACGCAACGGTTTGAACCCAGGATCTGCTGGTTACAAGGTTAGCGAGCTCGTAGACCAATAATCCACTGGGACCCAATCCAATGGCCAATCCATGAATTTCAACCTGGGTTCTGGTGAAAAGTTGTGATCAGCGGGGTAGAGAGGGTTGAGTGTAAGGACAAATACAGGCCAGAGATAATATTCGATAGTGGCTGCACCTTCTCATGAATCGGCAGAAGTTGGAATTCATAGGCTGGCCATTGGATTGGGTTCCAGTGGCTGATGAATGGTCTAAGAGCTCGCTAGCCTTGTAACCAGGAGGTCCTGGGTTCTAACCACTGTGTGGAGTGCATACTGTTGAAAAGTCTGAAGCTATGAAAAAACAGCTTGTCATACTCGTTGATGGGTTCCAGTCTTCCTCTAACTGATATCATCATCTATTTTACTTGATGATTTCTGTTCATGTGTCTGTCGTTATTCCTCTGCACACTATTCACTAGTCTCACCTGTAGTTTTGGGTATATCAAATAGAAGTCTGAATGAAAGAAGATTACATACCTGAGCAAATGTGAGGAAAAATAATTGATCAGAAGTGTAAGGTGAGTTCGAGTTTTCATTAACATCTTGTGGAGGGTTTTTCTTCAATCTTTGATATGTCTGTAATCAAAAATACATCATACGGGGGAAAAAGAATTTGGTTAGAAGTCAATAAGTGATACGATATATTAACTCACACGTCAATTCTTAGATGCCATTGTCTTTAAACTATTGATTGCTTTAGTGCTGCTTAATTTACAACAGTTGGAACTTTGTGACAAATAGAACATCCTTATAATGGCTATTAAAGAGTTTTGTCAATAGCTGCCGACTTCACTGACTCCATACTGAAGATCAGATGGCTGGCTAGCTGGAAGGAAAGGGAGATGGATTAGACACACATTGAGGAGACCGTTGTATGACATTGCTCGAGTGGAATCCGAATGTGAAACGACAGGCGAGTTTGGTGTGTGTCCGAGTGTGACATGGAGGAGATCGTGTAATGGGGAGTAGATGAAAGCCTGCAAGAAACCATGAGTCCAAGTGAAGAGGATTTCAGGGTAGAGGGCAAATACAGGCGTTCTGTTGAAGCCATAATTTCCACAGGTAACCCAAGGGAATATTAATAATAATGATAATAATATTAATAACGGTCATCATTCACAGGTTCGCATATTCAGTGATAAAAAGTATTACATGGAACCCCGTATTTATCCCATGTTTATGTTGCGTTACAAAAGACTCCCCATAAAACATCTTTCCTATTTCAGAATATGATATGTAGATAGATAATCAATAGATCAGCCTTTACGGTGGCATACGCTGATCAAGGTCATTCTGCAGAGAAACCAATGATAATAAACCTAGGTAAAATTACTAACGCCCACGATTTTATTGATCATGATTACTGACTGACTAACTGATATATTCTTCTTCCGTCAGAAACAAGCTGCATTCAGGAAAGGCAAATCATGTGCTGATCAAATTGCAACTCTACGAATCGTCATCACAGAACAAAGCATCGAATGACAGTCAAACGTGTACCTCAACTTCATCGACGTCGAAAAGTCCTTCAACAGACAGCGTTAACCGAGAAGTAATTTGGAAACTGCTTCAACACTATGGCGTGCAGTGCCTAAATCTTTATCAACCTCATTCAACAGATATATAACAGACGATGCCATCACATGTCATGTGATACACAACGGAAAACTCAACGAGGCGTCCGAAATGAATATGGGAGTAAGACAAGTCTGGCTGCCTATTACCACCGATGATATTCTTAAGCGTGAGATGGGGGTGGAGAGACATGAACATGTTGGATCGAAAGGAAAACTGTAGAACATCTGGATTTCGCGTTTAGGTGGTTCATATTTTATGTCACACAAACTCTAAGACTTTCAGGCGGCGAAAACCAACAAACTGACTGAAGAGGCCAGAAGTGAAGACACGACTCCAGGTGAACATAAAAAGGACGGAGGTGATGAAGATAGCCAACAAACATCGACGGCATCAACAACCAGCACCATTCGCCATCAACGGGAGAGATTTGACAGAGGTTACTTCCTTCACTTATCTCACCAGGAAGCACGGTTTCAACCACAAGCTGACGGAACGGAGGGGATCGGAAAGGCAAGAAACAACTTCATCAACCTGAAACTGGTTTCGAAGTCTTCTGCACTGACTCAGCCAGCATAAACAACAAGATTTTAGTTCCATTCAACACAAATGAGAAGTTGGTCAGTCAGTACTTCTATACGGGTCAGAAACTTGAATTGTGTGTCACGGATAGCATTTCCAATAGCCTATTACAGATTCGTATCAGCAGACTCAATACTGAAGGTCAAATAGTATCCTTTAAAAAATTATCAACAAGTAATACTGGAAGCTGACGAACAAACCAAGAGCCGATTGCTTAACAAATAAGCAGGAGAATTGTAGATGGCTTAGGCATTCATTAAGGAGGCTATCGAATGACATCGCGCGCAAATGCAGGCCATCGCTCGAATGGAACCCGAATAGGAAGCGACGAGTGTGTTGTCGGTGGGAGAGTGACATGGGTGAGATCGTGTGGCGAGTTGAAGGAGATGAGAGGTTATGAACAATCATGAACCCAGCTGAAGAGGACAGCACCAAATAGAAGAACAAAGTGGAAATGTGTTGGTGAAGTCTGATGTTCCACTCGGAAAACAAGAGAATCTTTTAGTGATGTTTTGAATCATACATTATTCCCTGAAATACACTTCTTGGCCCAGGTCGTTGTGTGTTCCGGCTTGAGTAGAACAGACTGGGTGGGAACAACAGGTGGCTGTCTTATAATGTTATTTTTGGTGTGTGTAGTCAAGCAATATTCGTGGTCAGCGTGTCTGTCTCCAACTCGGCGAATCCATTTCAATCTCAATGTCATTGAGAAATATTAAAGTAGCGAAACCATAACAAAAATATACGAGAATTGCTTCAAAATATTGTACCTGTGAAGACATTCAATCCCGTCTTAGGAGACATACATTCTCGCCAATCGATTATTAATACCCATTGTGATGCAAGAATTCAAAGTGTGTGCAAACACCTTATTATTTTCTACAACTACACACAGAAATACCACCCACCCATCGACATTCTGATATCAGTAAAGATGTATCAGAATACAGGAGGATAGATCTTCTCACGAGAATTATAAAATTCCGCAGATTTATTTCTAAAATCAATTCCTCTACTGAATGAGATAGTATAAAAGGGTAGATCAAAAAAGGCGACTGTTTCATTAGATTATACTTACTTTGTATGCTGCCTTCAAACCGCCATGATCAGATATGATTTCACCTTGCGTCCTAACACCTCCACTCTAATAAATCAATAAAACATTGATAGATTTCTTTTAAATGACATTCCGTAAAAATTTGCATTGGTGCTAGTCATATAGTGAAGAACACAACTGTTCATATAAGTAGAAAATGTTTAAGAATAATGATAATTTGCTTTATTCCAGAAACAGTACTAGTGGTGCAGTTTGGAATTTTCAGCACATATCTACAATATTTTCATCCAATTTTATCAGACATTTAAAAGGAGTATTTCAAAAAAAATATAAAGACACCATCGGCAAAAAAAACAGGAAAAACACATGATAATTTTTTAAAAATACGAAAAAATACCAAGAAGTAAAAAAGAAAATAAACATAATATAATAATAACTCAGTATTGGGTAGTGGAAGCTATGATGCGATTATGCATGGTGACAGTAAAGCTCTAATCATACAAGAAGTTATGAAATGATATTTAAAAAATGTTTATCGCCAAGATGAACAGTTAATTTGGTTGAAACAACACTAAACAATCATAAAATAACATTTCAGGGTTGTTGTTTTGTTTTTTATTGTCAGGTCTAATGCAGTGTTTGTAGTGGTAGTGTGAGTAATCCTGCGGAATACAAAATTTTAAGATGGTGGTATTAGCGTTCACAACCAATGATTGTCAGTTTAATATTGCCGAAAAAATTGATAAAAACAACCACAAAAACCAATAATTACATGATGGTTAATGACAGGACAATTTTGTAATACTCATAGTGCTAATATAGTCGGAACCAGTAGATACAGAAAAGAAGGAATACAGTAAAGTACAAAAAAATAAACCAATGTTAATAATTTAGGTAGCTAAGTGTGTTTAAGAAGGAGTTCACTATAGAATACAGAATAAGAGAGAAATAAAAGAGCCTAAAATTATGTTATTAACAACAAAGCAAGTCATAAGTTTCGCGCTTAACATCGTCTCTGTCACTTAGAACACGGGCCAAGTATGGTATCGTTGAGTTCCTGTACTTGGCTGTACGAACATAGATTATTTTATACTGATTTCTGGTTTTACTAGATGAGATACAAGGTGAGAGTTAGGAATAGAGAGGGTGTTGGGGGTCTGAGAGTACGGTTTTTGGGCATTTTTCGCATGTATTCAGATGCCTATCAACTAATGTAGTGACGAGCTGACTGAGTTTTACACCACTAGTTCTACTGACTACCTTCAACATCCCCCTCAGGATGGTATAGTCTTTTTTCAGTAACCAAGGAAAGACTAACGGGGAGCAGTAAAGTAGAATAGGTAAGATACAAGAGTTGACAAATTGTGAAAGTAGAGGTTGGGTGATTCCAGATTGTCTAAGTTTGTTAAAGTAGTAGGTAAGACAGAACACTTTCTTAGAAATCGTTAGGATATGAGATGTCCAAGTAAGGTAGGAAGATAGAACTAGACCGAGGTATGCTGGTGGAAAAATTATCGTCTCAAGTTTGTTCATGGACTGACTGATGTCAGTTAGAGAAGTCGTGGAAAACCAGCTGAGGAGTGTTGGAAAACTGTTTCCTTCGAGTTGGGGATTCTTTGGAAGAACACATACACCCACAAAATACTGTTCGAACCCATGAACTTCCAGTTATAATAAGGTGATAGCTCGTAGACCACTTAGCCACTGGGACCTAACTCAATGACCAACCCATGAATTCTAACTTCTACCGACTGGTGACGTTAACGCGACTGATACCAGGCAGTATCAGTAGGTGAGGAGTATTTTGCCTCACTCCCAACACGAATTGGTACAGGTTAGATATTCATGGGTCGACTGGTGAGACGCCCTGTCCCAGTGGCTGAATGATCTACGAGCTTGAATTGTAAGTGGAAGATCCTTTGTTCGAATCCCTGTAGGGAATTGGAGCATCTCATGAGTCGTGAACTAGGATGAAACAACCGCCGTTCAGTACTCCTTGCTGATTTTCAGTGCTGCTCTAACTGCTTTCAATCCGTTCGTCATCAAGCGTGGAACGAATCGAATTCTTACACACACTAACTCTTGAAAATTCATCGTCCACTGATATGGCATAAACGGGATAATTCAATGAGATGGATAAATTCATCTGTTTCTCTGTACGTGTTGTGGTCAGTTAATATTGGTAAGTATCAGCGGTCTAAATGACACCTATTCCCTGACCGAGAAGGCATAAATAAATGTGAGTGTCCAGATCGTCTACTGTGAAATTTCTGTTCGAATTATTCGTCTAACATGCCACGCTGAAAGGTGAATGCTTCGTATCAATGTTTTCAGTTGGAGTCTTGCTTGCTCCTGTTCAGCCAGGGCAAAAAAAGAGAACTCACATAATAAGTGTGGCTTTTAGCCAAATGAAGGGTAAACGATACCCAAGTAACCATTCAATGAAACCACTAACTAACTGACTTACTGATTTCCTGATCGCCTAAATAACTAAGTGACTAAATAACTCACTTGCTAACTAACTATCTAATCAGCGCCACCACACCATCTGTATTGTACCCTGTTATCTACTGTCTCTTCCAGTTGTCTCTTCGACGTTTATGAAATGATGATTTTGAGATGTCATCAGAGGACATATGCGTACAACTGACTAACTTATCGATTCATTTTGGAAAAGTGAACATCAGGAAATGGATGAAATTGAAATCCTGGACTTTGACTTCCTCTTCTTAGAATTCGTGCTGTCTCATGTGACTCCTAAGGTATTCAACAAACTCGAAAAACAAAACTACACTCAAACAAAAAGGTCCTGATTCTTCCGGAGAGAAGAATCCATTCACGAGACCACCTGCATACAACTTGTATTTCTCACCACGTGAATAAATAAATAAGCAAATGCAAACGAAATATCACATACAAGCGACCAACCTTTTCACTTGTGTATTTGTAATTTCTATGACGTTTACGCATACATTCTGTTTGCTTCAAGATTTCAAGAAATCCTTCATAGGATATACTGGATGGTAAGTCTTCACCTTTCTCATCCACCAGTAAACCTTGAAAGGGGATAAGATTTGTTTATTTCGTTTAACAGTACTATATAGTGAGGATTACAGTTATTTTAAAAAGGTTGACGACACGAATTAATATCAGTGAGACAACCATTGGAAACGGAACCAGGGAGAAGTGGACGGCTGTTTCGGCGGGATTTCGGACTCATAATCATTTGGAACTCATAGGTTGACCATTGTTAGTCAGGTGCCAATTATCCATGAGCTTGGCTTGTAACCGGAAGGTCCTGGATTCGAAGCCGTGTGGTGGGTGGATGGGTGAGTACTTCAGATGAGTCTGAAACTAGGATGAAACAGTTTTACACTACTCCATGGTGGGTTTTCAGTGCTTCTCTGACTGACATCAGTCTGTCTTCAGACTTGAAACAAATCACATCTCTGCAAATTAACTCTTGAAATCTGTAATAACTAGTTTTAATACAGCGTACGACCGTTGTCATAGTGAAGACTCTTTGCAATCCTGTAACTATATATATATATATATATACTTTACGATGACCTCGAGAGACACTAACACCATTGAAACATTAATACAGCCAACAACCAATAGGATTTCAAAGGTCATAAATGAGGTGAGAGAAATATCAACAGACATGTAAAAATGACACGTATAAAACTGGGTCTATAAAACAGAAATACTATGGAAAACTGAACTGTCTTTTCTTTAGAATACTTTCAAAGAAACTGACGAAGAGAATCTTCTACCTTAAATTTCCTAAAATGCCTGCATCTATTATTATTGGCACATACGAGTTCAGCAGAATATCTACATTTCCCCTGTTCTTGACGGTCATCTTCATCTGCCCTCACGACTGTCTACAGGCTTTCCTCTCCTCCCCATCACACGATTGAAGTGACTCCCAACATGTTGCTTCCCATTAGGATTCCACTGGAACGATGGCCTCGTATGAGTTGTCACCGCCTCAACAGTCTCCTAGGAGTGTGTCCAATCCATTTTCCAGTTTCTTCTAACATATTTGTTGAGCAATAGTAGGTTCACGATTGGTACGTTCTGAAAGCCAGCCATCTGATCTTCAGTATGGAGTCAGCGAACTGAGCACGTGTTGATTATAGTCTTCAGTGGCCTGTTGGACATGCTTTCCATTATGCCAACACCAAGTTTATGACCAATGTAGAAGAAATGACTGACTGACTTAACACTGATTCTGGAAAACCGAATTTCGTCCTCTCTTTTGACTTCATTGGTGGATATCCAAGCTGATTTCAGTGTGATGAATGTCTGTGTTGCGTTTCCGATTCCGGCTATTTTCGACAGCCTCATATACGTGGAGTAGGAAGTAGTTGAAGCGATGGTGCGTAGATCATTGAAGAAAGTGACCTCATTCAAATTTCTTCAGTTGATAGTGATTGGCACCTGTTGTTGTCGTTGTTCGTTGGTTATCTTCATCAGCTCCATCTCCCTTCTGTTCACTTGAAGTCTTCGTGTCTTTTCTGCACGTCCCTTCTTCCATCTTGTCAGTTTTCGTCTGTGGATCTTCAAATTTTCAGTGGTGGCATGAAAATTACACATTGTGGTCTCTGAATTCGTTTCTAGTGCCTCAAGATGAATTCTATCCGGTCCTGGCGAGCTTTTGACCTTCAGTAGCTTGATTGCATTGAAGGCTTTTGATTTTGTTCGAGGATTGGTGTCCACTGGCGGGTACTTCTGTTCGTGCTGTCTTTGTTGTAATGGTAATGGTTGATTCAAGAGTCCTTTGAAGTGATCAGTCAATTGTTTTATTTGTCTCTCCTCTTTGTCAGTTAGGTTCCGTTGACCATCTTTTATCGATTTCATCTGCGTTGATCTCTTCCCAATAAAATGTTCTGAGATCTCCTTTACTTGCGTTCATCCTGTTCTGCTTCAGTTTCCAGTGTGTCGTAGAATTCCCTTTTGTCTTTCCTAACACTCCTCTTCTTCATCTTCACTTCTTTCTTTATTCAGTGCAGTGTACATTGAACTCAGCTTCTCCTTCTGTTGTCCATCTCTGCATTAAGTCATCTTCCTTTTCTCACCCACCTCTCTTCTCTTCCATTAGCTTCCAGGTATCCGTTGAGAGCCATTCTTTGTCTTGCCTTTCTATTCCTTCTAAAACAGATGTACACATTTGCCTGCAGCATCACTTTCAGGGAATCTCAGTATTATACAATTCAGGTGTCCCCGATGATGGTACATAATGTCTCCGACTTTGCTCTGGCTTCTATAGGGATTGTCGGTGTCTTTTGTAGTTTCATCCTTCAGCTTCTCAGTTTTCCACTTGAATTGTAGTCTATCTCCTGTTGCTTTGAATTAAAAATACTTCCGTCTACAGATTCTGTGTAAATAATAATAATTTTTTAATAATAATAATTTGCTTTATTCCAAAAACAGTACTAATGATACAGCAAGGAATTTTTAGCATTCACTACAAAACTGCATCTATTTTACTCAAAAACGACAATAAAAAAAAACAAAATAAAAATAAACATTACATAATAATAATACCAAAACGTTGTTATAGCAGCTATTTAGCACTTTTCCTGCAGCTGACTTGCAACTAGTTTTTACCAGACGAAATATGATTAGGCAATGCGTCAAGGATAGATTACCGCTTTTGTCAACATCTATGTGGATTTACTCTTTTATCTGCTCTTGTGGAGCTGTTTATATTGGACGTTGTAAGCGCAATCTCCGAAAACGTGTAGCTGAACACTATCCAGTCTGGTTAATGAAAGGCGAACGTAGAACTGCGAAGTCGTCTATTTGTGATCACCTGTTAGAGTCGGGTCATTTAGCCCCACGTGATTCATCTTTCAAAGTTATCTACATGGCAAAATCGAACTGATCCAAAAGTTTACGTTTTCTTCAATTATGCATAGCCGAAGCTATAGCTATATATGAACGGAAACCTAAATTATGTGTTCAAAAACTTTTTGTCAAACCCCTTTCTTTACCTTGGTCATAGTAATGTTCTTTCTAGTTTCTACTTTATTTTATTTTACCACTTGAATTCATTCCACTTCACTTCACATCTTCATTCTTATCGTAATCGTACTCCTAATTTTTTAAAATTTTTAGACAACACTTGACATTTTTAAAACATTTTTGATTTCAATTCACTTATAAAACAATCTTTAATAATTTTGTAATTTATCCACTTCAACTCTACCCTTCATAACATTTTAATTATCGTTATTCTTATCACATATATGTATATTGACTGAGCAATTATTTAGTGCCACTTAATAACCTTTTCTGTGACATAAATACCACTGTACAGCTTGAAAATGAAGCCGTTGAAAAGAAATACATTTCTTCGCTGAACAGAAAAACTGTGTTTTTACATATAAATAAATGGGTATTTTCATAAATTACTGTATGCAACAAGAAGAAAAATATACATAAAGTATAAAATTATAGTAATAATAGTAATAACAACTAAAATAAAAATAGCAAAGTTATAATTAAACGATAGAAAGGGTGACACCATAAAATTACAGAAAGATGAACAATGAAAGGGTCGATTCACTTTGCTAATTACATAGTAACTTAAACGTTTCACGTCTAACAGAGTCTTCATCACATAAAATACGGGCTAAATACGGTATTGTTGAATTTTTATACTTAGTGGTTCGAGCATATAACTTTTTATATTGACTTCTCGTCCTGCCTGATGAGATACAAGGGGATAGTTGTGAATAAATGGGGTGCAGAGGGTCTGACAGTACGGCCTTTGCCCATTTTGTGAAGGAATTTATGTGTCTCTCGACTATAGTATTGGCGAGCTCACGCAGTGGCAAACCACAAGCCCTACTCAAGGTATTCAATACCCTTCGTAATATGATATAGTCTTTTTTGAGAAGCCCAGCAAAGATTAATGGAGAGCAATAGAGTACCATAGGTAAAATACAGGAGTTCACAAATTGCAGAACTAAAGGTTGGTTGATACCTGATTGTCTTAACTTTTTCAATGTAAAAGGTAAGACGAAACATTTTCTTAGAGATTGATAAGATGTGGGATGACCACTGTTTCATTGCTTCCTGCAATACACATTTAATATACACAAGAGTGTGTTACTTAATGACAATTGATATACATTCTCTTAGCATCAGTCTGTCAAAATTGTACTTCATCAAAATCGTACACACGACACACACACAAAATCTCTCTCACTCTCACATACCTGTTGTGTCGACTGCATGTAACAGTTCATGAGCAATAATCCAACCTAATCCTCCGTATTTCACTGAATCCTCTTTCCCGTTTGAATAATATGGTGGATTGAGCAATGCTGCATGAATGTGAATGCGATTACGATTGGGGAAATAGAAGGCTTCGGCTTTGTGACTTGCCGTAAAATGTTCCAATCTATCGGTTAAAAGGATAACACACAAAACAAAAATGAAAGCGTATAGACTGAAATGATTTTAGAGAATAAAAATATTTTAGACATATCTGAGCATGTATTCAGTAGGGCACAGTCTGCACAGACATTAACTCCACGTAAAAAAACACATGTCATCAGTTATCAGCCAGATAAATAGCATAAAATCATGAGTATTGTATGAATCAGCGATTTCTAATACTGAATTTCTAAAGGTCTCTGGCATGGACATTAGTAATTTGAAACCACTTCAACACACCATGGAGAGGAGCAAACCACTAACCAACCTCATTCAACAGCTGTATAACAGACAGTGCCACATGTCAAGTGATTCTCAATAGAAAACTCAGTGAAGAAACCTTCGAAGTGAAGACAGGAGTAGGACAGGTCTGTCTGCTTACTATCACCGATGATACTCCTAATCCATATGAACTGTGATCAATATTTGACTGGATAGTTGCAAAATAATTGAGCGCTGAGTGAGAAGTAGACATTTATAAAATTATATTTATCAAATCTCAGCGAAATTGAAATGATTAATTCCAACGTTTCCTGTGTTCGGCAATCTAGTCCGAACTTCTTCAGGGAAATTAATCGAAATTAACATAACAGAGGTTTATATATAAAAAGGAACATCACTTGTTTTTAAAAACTTTGTCCAATCATGAGTCATGCAACAGTCATCAACATGTATAATAAATAAATAAAATAGTATGTTTATATATAAAAGTATATCTCTAATTTTAAATTGTTTGTCCTGTCAGGTGAATCAAGAAACGGCTATCAATAGGTATAATAAACAAAAACAAAACAAAATCTTTAATATGAACTGTGATCAAAATTTGACCTCAAACTTTCAAAATTAGTCTACTTTTGTTAAAAATGTGTATATGCAGTATACAATGGTGTGTGTGTGGGTGAACAGTCATAAAACATTTGCTGTTCTCATAAGAGCTGTGATCAAGATTTGACCGGATAGTTACAAAATAATTGAGATTTTTCTCCAAATATAATATAATTTTATAAATTTGTTAACCTCTCCATAAGAAGAACGTAGACAATCGGGAATTTGATCAAGTGTGACTAGTTGTTGAAACATATCCAATTTATTTATTAGTCAGGACTTGCCATGCATCAGCTAACAAGATCACACCTTCACGTCTGTTCAAACTGTTGGGATTCACCCATATATGTGTAGGGCTTCTGCAGTCAGTCTTTCTTTATATGAACCAAAACCTTCCTGTAAAACCTTAGTCTTATCAAAGTCGATTTTGTGTCCCATTTCTATCGAGTGTAGTGCAATCGCTGATTTGTTTTCTAGTTTCTTCAAGTCTGCAGAGGTCTTTGGAACCAACCACCTTTAGACATTGTTTATGCTCTTTCACTCTTATATTTGCCTGTCTGGAAGTTTCTCTTACATATACGGCGTTACAATCCACACAATTGAAGAAGTTCGGACCAGATTGCCGAACACGGGAAACGTTGGAATTAATCATTTCAATTTCGCTGAGATTTTACAAAGATAATTTTATAATAGATACTCCTAATCATTGTGGATTGGATCATACGGGAGACTGTGAGCAGGGAGTGAGAATATAGGAATATGTTGGAGTGGCCGCAGGAGGTCTGAATTTCGGGGACGATTTATCTCTGGTGTCACAGAGATTCAAAGGCTTACACGTGAAAATCAACAAGTTGATAGAAGCAGCAGGCAGTGAATACACGAGTTCAACTGAACATGAGTAAAATGAAGTTGATATGGATCAGAAACTTGATACTTCCCCCTCCCCCACAAAGAGCATTTCCAGCAGACTAATGGTGACGTTTATCAACAAATACCTATGTCTCTGGCTTCACAACGCAAACGAACCAATCAGAAACCTCCTTCTGACCAACAGATATGACGAAGAAAATGGAGATAAAATCGAACATACTCTGAAGAGACCGTCGGTTGACATCTCGCACCAGACCATCGCTCAAGTAGAACAGGAATGGGAAACAGCGAGTTGGGTGTGTGGCCGAGGGTGACACTTAGGACATTGTCCAATGATGATATGAAAATTTATGAGCAGTCGTGAGATCAGATGATGAGGATTACAAAGAAGAGGACAAAATGGAGATATGATGTTGTTGAAGCCGTATGCTCCACTCGGAACCCATGGGAATAATATCAATAATTACATACATACATACATATCTTTCATCAGAACTTTCAAATTCGTTAAAGACCATCGAAAACTAGGGACAGCTGTTCCATCCCAGCTTGAAACTCTTCGGGTGTGAGTGCCTACAATACAAACAGGCATCGGATAGAGAATACGGATATAGGACTGCCGTCAACCAGTGCTTTCAGCAAACATCCTTTTCTCCATGAAATGCTAGACTCCACTGGTCACGACTTTGTAGTACACCATCAGAACAAACATCCATCAATGAATTAGAAATTGATGTCTATCGTAGGAATTTTTCTCTGAGAATTTTTAATAATTATGATGTGGATTTCAGGGGGTGCGCACTGACGAAGAGTATCAAGCTAGGACGAGGCTGTTGTTCAGTTCTCTTAGATTTTCAATAATGTCCAGCTTACATTGGTTCCTGAGGAATGTCCACAACGAAATTAATTCACAAAAATTCAGAAATTGATATTCACACACAAATATACATTTGTTTCCTCTGATTCTGTGTGATTCAGAGCTTATGGAGTATTTTGTCTAATGAACACAGTGGACAAATTGACAAACGGTCAGTTAGTTGAAAATGGTAAGATCTCAATGTCAGCTACTAGTATGGGAAAATGAAAAGGGGAAGGTGGATCGTTAACAGAGAACGTTCAATGTAGACAAAACACGTAGTTCAGCGAAGAGGCTCTTCCCTTGACGAATTCATTTTCCTCGTAATACTACGTAATCTCATTTTCATGCACTCTCCATTTCATGAAAGAGAGTAGTGAGAAAAGTGATGAGTTGTCACAAACGCAATTTTCAGTATTGGTCAATGCCTAAGACGAGTTGAGCAAGTGTATTAGAGTTACGTAATAAGCTGAATAATACATTAAATGAGTTGTAATCAAAATATGCATATGAAAATAAGGGAAAACATGGAATTATGCAAGAATTCTAAGGATTTGTGAAAACCAATACACAAACAAACAAAAGTCAAGTCAGTAGGAATCAATACGGTTGTTACCATGATAACTGATGTGGATGAATAATTTTCTTTTGTATGCGGAGCTCCAGTTTCTCTGTCTGAATGGCTAGAGCTTCAGTAATGCAAAGGAGACGAAATCGTATTGCCTTTGACAAGTCGATCTCCTTCACTTTTTGGATTACTTAGAAGGAGGAGGCGTTTGTTGAGATGGAATGACCAGTGTTGACAGAGACACTTCCACCCTTCTACATCCATGCAGTGGGATAGTGTTCTTGAAACCTTTTGCGTTGCACAATCAATATACCTGGCTCTGCAGGAGATTCATTTGAGCGTAGACCATTTGAACAGTGTGGTTCATTCTGAAACATCTCTGGCATTTATATTTTCGTTGACACACATTCTCAAGCTGAATAATTCCTGGTTTCTAATATTCTCACTATAGCGAAGTAACTACAACTTAAAGTGTATGCTACTGGCAAGGTTTATGAGTAGTATATAATTGCAGATTGTGATATGAAGCGACTAAAAATATAAACCAACATTTTAAGTCAGTGGTAGTAGTTACAGAGGTAGAAGTGTTTGTTCCTCAAATCTGAATTTAGTTCGCGATATGGACATAAAATAACCTCTTTGAACAACTTCTCATCCCATTGTTTAACCTTGGGCCAATCGCCCCAACCAACCAGAGCAGTTAACTGACCTAGCTGACCTAGCCGAACATTATACATCTTCCTCTAATAAAAAAGGTCCATTTCCTATTCTCTTATCCACTGTGGTTCGATCTGATGTCAATGTCTTCGGACAATGAAGATCCCATTGCCTGCTGCTGCTGCTTTCGAAGAAGGAGACATACTCAGCTTCCTGTGAGACTTCAGTGCTGTTGCTTCGTTGGTGGGCATCAAGAATCCTACGGCAAAGATGGTTATGCCGGAAACACTTCTCAGGATTCTGATAAAGGCGACGTACGACAGTTCGGGGCGGGCAAGTGGTGAGAAGACCTGGAAGGTATTGAGAGAATGATTGGTGGCGAAGTTTGACAGCTCCACATATAGATAGCAGGCAATGCCCCTCTTGTTTCATATCACGAAGTTGCCACTGGATGGAGACCTGCTAGTATTCATAGTGAAGCTGACAAGTCCACCTTGTCGTGGACTTCCCCCACACTTGATGAATTGTGTGAGACGCAGTTGCCAGTCTATTGAAACTCTTTCAGAAGACATTACTCAGCCATTGCAACCGGTCAACACTGCACAACACATAGACATCGGTCAGCCGACCAAGGTGACAAGACGCATACTGGGCACAGCACAGAATCGAAGATTTGCAGTGCAAAGTAGCCAAGGCAAGTACGAATGAATGTCAGAAAAGACCAGTGCTGTGAATGTTGGTTTTAATGTTGGTCACTTCCTAACACAATCTGCATTTATATACTACTTATAAATCTTGTCAGTAACACATACCACAGCTTCATTCGTTCATTTTCCCAAACCAAGCCTATAGTATTCATCACACGTTTAATCGAATAGCCTAACCCTTTCGTTGTTGTTTATATTAGTTTGACAGAAAATGGTTTCACTTTGATATAGAATGACAACAACAACAATAACAACAGCGACAGCTTACTCATGAGGGATACCGAGTAGAAAACCTCTCGAATTGTCCAAATATTTGGCCTTCCGGGCAAAATATTCATTCACGATGTAAGTGTCCTCGTGTATTGGATACTAGAAAATTGATTGAAAATATGAATAAATTCAACAGGTAGTTAGGTAGGTAGGTGGAGAATGTGACAAGAATCTGTAGATGTCACTCATTTTTGCACAAATTAATTTGAGTTATTAAATCTTTATATTCATGATTTGAACATTTTAAACATTCTAGAAGATTATTTAGCTGAATTTGGATCTTCCTGTTGAAGAGCTCGACCTCTATTGATATGTCGTCTCCTTGTGCGGAGGATTAGTCAACTTGAAGTATTTTGGTGGGTGGTGACTAACTGCAGTGGAACTCACCAGGATATGCACTTCTTCCTATTTGAAACTCGTCTTAGCTGAATTTAGCTGCCTTCCCCAGTTAGGGAGTGATTCCTTTCCAATCCCCGCCACCACCATCTCTGAGGCTTGTACCCAGTGACCATCAATTCAAACACTTCATTTCAATGAATCAGCGGGGGAATCCAAATTGATATCTATTGCCCAAGAGGTGGTGGCTCTCGTGTCCCTGAAACCCCGAAGTATTCTGACGGATTTCACGCTTTGTTGTTTGAATTGATGGGAGTACTGGATTTGAGCTTCGATGAGTGGGGAGGGGGGACACCATCATTCACTGACTGACTGACTGACGAGGGAATGCAGGTACAAGCCCAGATCATGACTCCCTCAGATAGGACGAAATGTGCATCCTGGAGGATTCCACTTCAGCTAATCACCATCCACCAAACAAATTCTAGAAGATTGATTTGAGACTATGTGTTCAGTAGGCGTGTTACGTAAGTCGAAAGGATAGATGAATTTTCATTATTACTATAGCAGTATTACTCATTCACTGCCCTCTGAGTGAAGCATACGGGTTCAGTAGAACATCTCAAGTGTACTTGGCTATCAGCTTCTTCGATCAACCTTGATTTGCTGTACGATTATCTACAAAGTTCCATTTCCTCATCTTTTTCTTCCTATTCTTTACAAGATCAGCGACATTATCACAATTAGCCGTCCAACCTATCACTTGCCATTTGAGGGTTCCATTCGACGGCCTGACGTGTGACGTCACTTGAAGGTCTTCCCAGAATGTGTTCATGTGTGTGTATATGTGTCTAATCCACCTCCGTCGCCTTCTGCGTATTTTTATTGAGTGATCTGTTCCACGATGGAGTCGTGGTCTGTCGGCGTTACACTGCCGTTTATCCTTCCTTGCTGACCGCCTAGTCTTCGGGGTAATGAGGAAAAAGGGCAGTCTACTGGTAACAACAATCTAGCCTGGTGCGCTCCATTTAACACTATTGATGATATCTAGATTGTAAGAAGTTTGAAAGTCAGACAACTGGTCTTGTTGTCTAAATATATAATTGGCATTATTAGAAAAGAAACCTCCTCCACACTTGTGCAGCTGGTTGAAAACGATGACAGGAGAATGTAGTATGTCTGAAATGTGCTAATTCAGCCCATTTTCACACTCACACAATTTTGCTGTTAGTATTTGCTAGTCTAATAAGTGTTATTATCAAATAAGTAGTATAACGTCTATGTCCACTGTAAACTTGCTTCAGTATTACTGATTATGAACAACAAGAAACAGCACCAATCACTGTCAACATGCAAGAAATTTGAAAGACGTGAATTTCTTCACTTAAGTAGTCTCCATACTTTCAACTACAGTCAACTCCATGGTATGAGGATGTCAAACAAAGCCAGAATCTTTTTTCGGTGTGGTTGTGTTCTCTGAGCTGAATAGTTAATTTGCGAAGCTTTCATCACTCTACTAGGCGACATCTTCAGCGCATACTTCAATTGTTGAAGTGAGCCTTCAGATTTCTCCACGAGTTTATTAATCATCTCTCCTGGTAACCTTGAACTTGATTGGTTGTTTTTGTGTGTTTTCACACCTTCTAGGCTACTTCTATTGGAACTGATTGTTTCTTTGACTTGAACTTTTAACCTTTGTGTGTGAGGTTTCTTTCTTATCAGTTGATAAATTTTGTCTATCTTGATGTGTCTATTGATTGACGATTCACTGGAATACCGGAAGGCTTCTAAAAATTCTCTGGCTGGCATTCTTGTGCTTTACTTCTGTCTAATATATGAAAGTTTTCCCACTCGAATTGATGCCCATGGTTGTCTTTATGCAGTGATATGAGGGAGTGGATGTCATGTCTTTTGACGGCTAGGTTATGTTCGTGGATACGAAGACGAAGGGGACGTCCACTTTGGTCAATGTAGTGTTTTTCGCAGTTGATACAATTTATTTTGTAGATGATGTTGGTTTTATCTTCTTTCGCAGTGAAGTAGGGTGATGAAAGCTTCGCAAATTAGCTATCCAGCTCAGAGAACACAAACACCGCACCAAAATCATCCACCTGAGCTACAAATCTTCTCTATCATATCTAAAGCCAGAATCTGAAAGACAAGGCAGACATTCATCCTCCACTGAACTCAATGTAAACAACAGAAGCCAGATGTTCAACAACATTGTTAAGTCAGTTACAGGGTACTGCAGACTTTTGTTGACAGTCGCCTCCCTCGCTGACGTCATAGTGAAGATCAGATGGCTGGTCGACCGGCTGGCCGGCCACATAGAATTATCACTAAGAAACTGTGGAAATGAACCAATCAAAAACCTCATATTGCTCAACAGGTATGTAGAGGAAAATAGAGATGAATCGAATGCACACGCTGAGGAGACCAACCAGACCATCACTCAAGTTGAACTAGAACGGGAAACGACAGACGACTTGGACTTGTGAATTATGATAAATTGTGATGGGTGGTGGTGGTGAGGCGAAGTGAAGAGGATTGCAGAGAAGAGGGTCGAAATGGAGAAGTGTTATTGAAGCTGTTTGTTCCACTCGGAACTCAACGGGACATTAAAGGGAGAATTATAATTCTCTGGAAATGAAGCACAGAACTGTTCAGAAATTGAACTATAATCTTTAACATCCTGTTGTAGCATAGTCAGTCAGTGAGTCATGACACTTCTGTACTTGCCATCTCTCCATTTATTAGTTCTATTAGATCGAGTCAGTTAACTGTCTTCTAGAGCGTGAGCTGAGTGACAGGAAGTTTTGGTGTTTCTTTCCAGATCCCAGTTAGTGTCTCTTGTCTACTTGTGTCTAAGGTAGTGAAATTCAGGATGCATGCTTACTTGTAACATAAAGGATACAAACATACGCACGTGTATTTCATTAATTCTATCTAGTTAAAATTAAGTGTCGGTTCGTTGTTGGTTTACCGGTAGACTACACTGTCTAACCACGCACGCTACATGTGGTCAGGAGGTGAATCCTCAGCCGACTCTCTAAATAAACTGGGTAATAAAGAGGGATGATTGGGCGTGATACTAAAGACCTCACTCCATAATACAAAAACAGACATCACTGCTATCGAAACTTCAAAACTCCAGCTTGAAGCCAACTGTGTTTCCGTCGGAAAGCAAAGGAATAAAATAAGTAATCATAAATAAAGATGAGTGCTAACAAAAGATGACCTAACGAACACGTCGGAGTGTTGTAGAAGTGAACCGATTAGACTTCGACCAAGAATAACAATATTATTATTACAATTATTGTTCCCTTGAGTTCCGATTGCAACACAGGGCTGATAGCGAAAGTGGCAGCTGTTTTGAAAAAAAGGTCTACAGTGGCCTGTTAGAAATGATTTTCAAGAGGCGGACGCCAAGTCTCTGATCTGCATAGAAGAACTGACTGTGTGCCTGACTGACTGAATGACTTAACAATGGCGCTGCAAACCCGACTTGTGTTGTTAAATGCTGAGTTCAACGGGAAGACTTCCGGACTAATTTCAGAGGGATGAATGTCTGATTTGTCTTTTTGATTCTGACTGTGTGTTTGACGTCCTCATCCTTGGAGTTGGCAGTAGTTGAAAGAATGATTCCAAGTTCAGTGAATTGAAGGAGGTGACCTATCTCAAATTTCTACCATTTTGATTGTGATTGGTGCCACAGAAACATTAAAACCCAACCTGAATACTCTCCGGTGTCATATAAAAATTAATCCTTAATATTTAACCAACTTACTTTATATATCAGAGATAAATTCTCTTTAAACTCTGACGTGTTGAAGTCGTAGGACGAAGCGAAGACGGTGATATTTGAAATCTGAAGGATAAACACAATAACATTGATAATAATATATGTGTAAAACTTGTGCACTGTAGTAGTAAGTAATTCCATATTAGTTTGTTTATTACATGTTTCACACAGTCAAGAAACAGTATTATTTACTGGATGACACAGTTTCGAACACAATTTATTGCCGTTCATAATCATTTCATCAAGTATAATCACACTACTTCGAAACTTGAGTTTCATACTTTTCTTTGTCGTCTCCTATTTGTCATCGTTGGGGTAGTAGACTTTTCCAGATATCCGAGTGGACAGGTGTTGAATCATTCTTATTACACGTATTTGCAGTTGATTCGATAAACAAAGCTTCTGTTGTCAATCTCTCCCTCAATTTACCCTGTGACATTAGATTTTAAGACTGTCATCCTATCCCATCCAGCCTATTGCATAGTTGTGTGTGACTGCATGTAGTGCTATAGCTGAACTATTCTCTAGATTTCTTATCTTATTTGGATCAACCAATCTAGATTTTGCTAAGTTTTTATGTTCAGCTAGTCTGACTGCCCCTTTTCTACTAGTTTGACCTATGCATTTGACCTGACAATCATTGCAGGCAGGGTATTAGATAAACTATATTGTTTTGTTTTAAAGGCTCTATAGATGGCATTCAAACCCACAAACTCAATTAGAAACAAGCTTTGTCGGTTAAAGGATCCTGTAGAGCCTTTAAAACAAAACAATTTAGTTTATCTAATGCCCTACCTGCAATGATAGACAGGTCAAACTAGTAGAACAGAGGCAGTCAGACTAGCTGAACATAGAAACCTAGCAGAATCTAGATTATTTGACCCGAATAAGATACGAAATCTAGAGAATAGTTCAGCTATAGCACTACATGCAGTTACACACAACCACACAATAGGATGGGATAGGATGACAGTTTTAAAATCTAATGTCACAGGGTGGCGGGAGAGATTGGTAAGAGAAGCTTTGTTTATCGAATCAACTGATAGGGAATACGTGTAGTAGGAATGATTCATCACTTGTCCCCGATATCTGGAAAAGTCTACTACCCCAACGATGACAAATAGGAGACGACAAAGAAAAGTATGAAACTCAAGTTTCGAAGTAGTGTGATTATAATTGATGAAATGATTATGAACGGCAATAAATTGTGTTCGAAACTGTGTCATCCAGTAAATAATACTGTTTCTTGACTGTGTGAAACATGTAATAAACAAACTGATATGGAACACTGATAATAATTTTATTATTCAAGATTTCGTGGAGGATTTCATCATGAGCTGACATCAGTTAGAGAACCACTGGAGAACTTGGGAGTACTGGACAGCTGTTTCGTCCTAGTTTGGGACTCATCAGCAGTACGCAGGTTGGAGATGAGGCAGTAACTCATCTGAGAAGACATTGCGAAATGGTCGCGCTATGTCGTGAATTGGCAGAAGTTAGAATTCAAGGACCATTGGATCGGGTCCCAGTGGCTCAATGGTCTACGAGCTCGCCTTGTAACCAGAAGGTCCTGGGTTCGAGTCCCGGTGGGTGCGTACTGATGATGAGTCCCAAACTAGGACGAAACAGCTGTCCAGTACTCCCAGGTTCTCCAGTGGTTCTCTAACTGATGTCAGCTCATGAGGAAATCCTCCACGCAATCAAACAAAATCCCTACAAAACCAATACTTGAATATTCAAGATTTGACAGAAAATATTTCCAATAATAATTGGGCATCGAGTGAGGGGTTAACATGTGCAAAAAATTTTTATTTTTGTTAAATCTCAGCGAAATTGAAATTCCAGTGTGTTTCTTTCGACAAACTCATCCGAACTTCTCCATGGGAAATTAATCGAAATTAAAATAATATTGCAAATAATTAAAAAAGAACATATCTCTGCTTGAAGATCCTTGTCCAATCTTCATATGAGTCATGAATAAACATCAAAACAACATAAGATAAACAAAATTGCATGATCTGTGATCAAACATCTTTGATCACAGACAGTTTGATCTCACAGTCTACGTTTTGTGAAACACTGTTAACAGTGTGTACGTCTTTGCATCAGATAATTTTAGTGATTACATTTGACTAAAGTTCATGGTCTTAAATAACTGAATATGAAAAATGTACACAGGTATTTGCAGTATGGCTCAAGTCAGTGACTCAATGATTTTGGTATCATTTTGGTTAACTGTAATTGACTGTGATATTATTATTGTTGTTGTCGCTTGTTACCTTTCTTGTTGTGAATTATTTTCCATTGCTGGTGTTGTTCTGATTGGTTTATTCCTTGTTTTCCTGGTTTTAAGGGGAGCAACCCACAAGGTCGCTTCTCTCTAAACTATAACTTAATGTAACAATCCTCTTCGCAGGCATGAGGCTAGCAACCCCACCCTGTAAACAAAGTTGCTACAGAAACTTCAGCACGATGAATCTCCTTGCGCCAAAAGAAAAAGTCTGTGTGGGGACATGGAATGTTCGCACCATGTACGAGATTGACAAAGCTGCCCAGATCGCAAACGAAATGAAAAGATACGGGATTCAAGTACTGGGAATATGTGAAAGCAGGTGGAACGGGAATGGACTCACCAAATTGTCAACAGGTGAGTCAGTGATCTACTCCGGTCACCCAGAGGATAACCACATGCACACCGAGGGCGTTGCTATCATGATGTCACCAACGGCAACGATGGCCCTGATGCAATGGTAGGCGATCTCGCCCAGGATAATAACCGTCAGATTCAACTCCAAAGAAGGGAAAGTGTCAATTATACAATGCTATGCACCGACAAACAACGCACACCTCGAAAAGGAAGAAGAATTCTACAGACAACTACAGGCAACAATGAACAATACTCCAGCTGGTGACATTAAAATACTAGTGGGAGACATGAACGTCAAACTGGGATCAGACAACACAGGAAGGGAACTCATCATGGGTAGAGAAGCTCTCGGAGAAATGAATAAAAACGGAGAACTCTTCGCCAACTTCTGCGCCTTCAATGAACTAGTGATTGGTGGCAGCGTATACAAACACAAGGATATCCACAAGGCTACTTGGGTGTCACCAGATGGGTGAACCAAAAACCAAATTGACTTTATGTCAATCTCAAGGAAGTGGAGGCAAAGCCTGCTGGACACAAGACAAGCTTTCACTACTCTCGAGTCTGTGTGAAGGTCAACAACACAGCGTCAAAAATTAGATCCGGATTTTCAAATCCAATGTGAAGTCAGTGCTACTATACGGATCAGAGACCTTCGCTGCGCGTCATAAAGAACATCTCAAACAAACTACACACCTTCATTAACAGTTGTCTTCGCTCAATACTCAAGATCCGATGGCCAGTGAGAAAAGATCAGCAACAGAGATCTCTGGGAGCCAACCAATCAGGAACCGATTGTGAAACAAATAGGCAGGAAGAAATGGAGATGGATTAGCCATACTCTGAGGAAACCATCAATTGACATCACTAGACAAGCCATCGCTCGAGTGGGACCCGAAAGGGAAGCGATTAGTTGGTCATCAGTGCAAGGGTGACTTGGAGGAGGTCATGTGAAGAGGAGATGAAAGCATGCGGGCAGACTTGGAGCCATGTAAAGACTCTAGCAGAGAGCCGAACGCAAAAAAGACGTGCGGCTGAAGCCCTATGTTCCTCTAGGAATTGAAGGAAACAATAGTAATAATATTTGCAGTATACAATGGTGTATATGTCTGAGTGTTGGTATAAGGGGACAATTGTAAGTCATTCGTGAGTCTCTCCATAAGAGGATACAGACAATCAAGAATGTTGATTAAGTATGATTGATTAGTGATACATTATTATATTACTATTGTTTCCTTTAATTCCTAGAGGAACATAGGGCTTCAGCCGCACGTCTCCATTGCGTTCTGTTCTCTGCTAACTTTTTCATCACATGGCTCCACGTCTGGTCACATGCTTTCATCTCCTCTTCACATGACCTCCTCCATATCACTCTCGCGCCGATGACTTCCTCATCACCTCCTATTCAGGTTCCACTCCAGCAATAGTCTGGCGTGTAATGTCACTCACTTGATGGTTTGTTTTCTAAGAGTATGACGAATCCACCTCCATTTCTACCTCCATATTGGATACACAACCGGTTCCTGCTAACTTCATTCGCTCATTGTCAGAGATCCCTCCCTGTTGCTGAGCTTTCCTGGCCGACCATCTGATCTTGAGTATTATTGAGCGAAGACAGTTGTTGATTGATGAGTGTCAGCAGTTTTTTTCGAAGTGCCCTTCGTGACGCGACGCCAAGTCTCTGATCCCTTTAGCAAGTAGCACTAACTTCCTATTGGAGTTGAAAATCCACATCTTATTTTTCATACCGAATGCTGAGTGTTGATCACCACACAGACTTGCGAGAGAAATGAAAGTTTGCCTTGCTTTCCCGTTTGCCGCTGCTTTGATATCCTCATCAGTTCCATCCGCCTGTGGTTGAAACAGAGGCTTCTCAGGTATGTAGGTCGGTAGGTAAAGGAGGTTGCCTCTAACAGATTTCTCCCATTTATGCTAATACATATTAATTCTTTATTTATTTATTAATCAGGACTTGCCATGCATCCACTAACAACATCACACCGTCACATCGCCTGTTCAAGCTATTGGAATTCATGCAAATATGTAGTGCTTCCGCGGTTAGTCAGTCAGGCTTTCTTTATACGAACCAAAACCACTCTCAGTAGAACCTTGGTTTCGTCACTATCAAGTGTAGTGCAAGCAATCACCGATCTGCTTTCTAGCTTCTGCAGAGATCTTCTGAACCACCACCTTTCGACAATGTTTATGCTCCTTCACTCTCACATTTATCTGTCCTCAGGTTTTGCCTGCATATATAGACAGCATCATATTGTCCACAGTTTATCTGGTACACGCAATTCTGTTGATTGTCTTCTTCTGTTTTATTCTTAACCTTCACCAGTGATTGAGGCGTGTAGGGTGTTTGTTGCACCAAAATACACTCTTATGACATTAATGTAAGTATAGAACTTGAGCACTG